GCAATCTTTTTCATCAGGGGATGCATCTTTTAAGAGGAGACGTTATTCTAGTACCTTACATTATTGATACCAAAAATGGAGTTGCTATCCCTTCATTTCCTTCACAGTGAGATGTGTGCAGCTCTTTTTTTTTTGCACATGCAAGAGGATGGTGTAGTTGCTCAATTGCCAGTGAAGGCATAATTTACCTTATGGGATCTGCACCAGTGATCATGCATGAGATGGAAATATCACTCGACATAAGAGATCAACAGTGAAAACCCTTTGTAGCCAGACCTTCTGACCCTAGAAGCCAAATAAAATTCTATAAGTGGCTGCCAGCTATGCTCTCACTTTCATACTGTTGCCCCAGACTTGACTTCATAAGCTTGCCTTTTTCTTGTGCCCTCACTGCTTCCCTCAGGATCCCAGTGTTACATTGGTGTGTACATGTGTGATCCTGTTTTACAGACTTAATTTGTGGCCCTCATTCTGTTATTTACAACAGGAATCAACCCGTAAAGGTATTTAAATACATTGATCGAGGTATTTAAATACATTGGATCGTGGTTTTGTCTTTAACATTTTGATGAACGGTTGTCAGGAAAAGGGTGGTGTTCGTGATCTTTCTTCAGCAGAAATGTTTGGGTATTCACCTGAAACTATCTGAGCATTCAGGTGAAATTCTAAGTGGAAGTTTTGTACTGTTGGAGTGACTTGAACAAAGATATTTGATTGTCACAGGTAATTTTTGTAGTGCTAGAAAGGAATCTTTGAAGGACCCTGCTGAAATGTAGATACACAATATCTGGAGAGGGCATCTCATGAACAAGTAGGGAGTAAATCCCTCTCTCGCATCTGGAAGATAAAAATTTCCAGGAAGAGTGTCATCAAGAAGTGGCTCTGCTGATTTCACCTGATGACTGAGGGGGTTGTGTGTGTGTATTCAAAATACTATAGGCAGAATACCTCCTAAAGTTGATTTTAGTCTATGCTTTTGAATCCTCTGACAGCCGTGGCGGGCCCTTAAGTGCAAGGGTCGGCAGCTCTTCCACTCTCTTTTTATGGAGGCATGGGATGTGTGGAGGGAGGACCAATAAGGAACTACTCATACATGTGTGAGTACTTGGGTAATGACTAAAGCTGCCATGTGGACACTGAAAGTCTCCACCATAGTAGAAACCTCTTCCCCTAGTCAGACATCTTTAACTGTATATATGTTTGATTCTTTTTTTATGCATCTTTTGTTGTCTTAGTATTGTCCTAAACAACAAAAAGTCTCAATCTGTGTCATTTTTAGGCTGTTCTGTATGATAGTTGTCGGATTTCTTTTCCTCCTATTTCTTACCCTGAAGACAAAATATAAATTAATATTGCAGGCAGTCTTGTTCCTGGACTGTCTGTGTAACTTGGCTAAGTCTGTGGGCCCTTTTTCCATGTTGGTAGTTGGAGGCACTAATGCTTCTTTATTCTTTACATCATTATTTTCTTGTGGGGAGAAGTTATTAATCAAACAGATAATTTAGTAATATTGCATTCCGGTGCTAAGATACAGTCTCTGCACCTTTTTTGCTGTAAAGTACCTGACACCTGAAGCTCAGTAGAAATCTCACTATGTATTAAAAGCAATGTGCTTTCCCTGAGGATTTCAGGATTTGTACATTCTATGCTTTTGGATGTTTGTATTGAGTGAATGGTCTTGGGGGAGCATGAGAAGAGTAAAGCTTGAAAACCCATTTAAATTGCAAGACTGCAAAGAACTCTTTTGTGCAATCATCTGTCTCCAGTTTTATTGCCCTGCAATATTTGACTTGTATGTTAGGTTTTCTGTGTTTGTATTTGTATTTTAGAAATGTACACAAAAAACCTTTTTATAACATGCTGCTACCAGTGCTCATTGGATTGCTGTCACTTCCCTGTACCTTTGTTTACTTTTTAATTTAGTTTTAATTTTGTTCTTTATTTGCAGATTTATAATTAATTTATGTATTTATTTTAATTCTGTGTCTTTCATCCCTTTCTCTGTAGTCCTTAGTGTTTCTGTCTCTTGTGTTAGTTCCAACTTTGCTACCTTTTTTATTTTTTGTATTCCAAGCAGATGAAATTAGATGGATGTTCAAGAACCCATAAATATTCCTATTGGCATTAGAAATGTGTAGATCCTAGTTTTCTTTTCTCTTCTTGCAATGATAAGGAGTAAAGAAAGTTCTTGCTGTAAGTTTATTGTTGAAACCCAAACCTCAGATACCTTGGATCAGATATTCTGATTATGGAAGCAAACAAAGCTCTGTTTACCCTGACTGTTGCTCAGTCCTATTGCATTTCTTCCAGTTAATTTACTGAGAATTTGCTGATCTTTGTTCTTGTTCAGCTAAGTTTTGTTGACTGGGTTGTTCATTATGGGTTTAAACTTGTATTTTCTCTTTCTAACAACTTAAAACATTGGGAGCTTTTCCCCTCTCTGTATCCATTTACTTGGTTATGTCTTTTGAAGAGGCATTGCTTCATTAAACATTTTCCTGCTTAGTCTGTAATGATCCTACTACTTCCACTCTAAACCCATTATTACATTAAATAGTTTCATTTGTCTTCAGTGGGATGAAGATGTTCCACATTGTCTTTGGTTCTTGGGGCCTCTTTGATACATGATCTTCAGTGGTGCACTGTGGAAGATTCAGCAGGGTCTGTGCCCTAATTCCAGGTTGGCAGGATTTTTTAGCCTGTAATGGAGCAAATATGTTATTCAATTGTCATGCTCTGGTGACAACAGTATGATTATGCTTCTACAAAATTAAACATCTGAGACTACTTCAGGTCTTGTCTCTTTCACCCCCGTCTATTCCAGCAGTAGGACTCGGGTGTTGGTAGTGGGAAGCCACTGTGTACGAGTAGTAGGTGATGAGATGATGCTCGTTCTGTGGCGATGAGCTGGACGACTTATGTACTCTTTTGGTGCAGCCCAGTAGTGAGACATGTAAACACGAAGGGAGAAGACAATAGGTGTCTGTATCTCCAGGGGATGGACCATTTTGCTGCAACACCCAGGGCTGCTGGAGGGAGAAGCAGAATGTCAGCTTGGAATGCCGGGGGGAGCAGCTGCCAGCTCCAGCTTGGCCTCCAAATGGGCTTCACATTTTAGCAAGTACTTAGTGCTTTTGGGCAGACTGGGAAAAAACAACTTCTGGAACTTATCTCCTTCTGTAGCAGATTTCTGTCTGGTCTGAAGACCAGGCACTGCAGCGACCAAAGAGCCAAAGGGAGAAATGGAAAGGATGAACCCACTGCAGTGGGGTTCTTTCACATTAAGCCCGTTTCTTCCACAGAGGTCATGAAGGACTCCATTGACTGGGGAGGTGCTACCTCACCTCTCTCTCCTCAAAGGGAGCTTTTCATGCTCTGCTTACTTCCCTTCTTAATGATTTCACATTTCCAGGGTTAACTTCACAACTTCTCATTGCTACAACCTTTTTAGTTTTAGAGTAGAAGTTTTATGGAGTCCAAGTGTAACTTTCTGTTTAGGTTCTTGGGCAATCTCTGACTTGAACAATAGGTAAGTTGAGGATTAGTAGTAATACACTACTCTCTGCAGTAGTTGCAGTGAGTGTGTGCTGAGCTTTTGCCATTCCTGAGCAATGAAGTAACCACGCATAATGTACATGCTATTAAGATGTGTTTTAGTTGTTTTTTATGTTTTTTCCTGTGGGGTTACTGAATACTGTGCCTCAGCAAAAAGGATTAAATAAAACTTGAGCTATGGGTTTGAAATTCTGCATGAAACATCTGATCCATATTACTGCAATGTTCCAGAAACTGTAGTTGGTATGTCAATTCTGCAAGCAAAAAATGATTGCAATGCAATTTCTTCTTTTTCGTGTAAAATCGTACATATCCTCCCTGCAGGGATTTTCTTGTTTAGCGGACTACAGTGTGGATTTGGAAAAAAATATAATTCATTTGTATGTAAATACAACCTGAAGGCTGCAAATATCTGAGCTTCTACAAAGACAGAGGGCATGTACATGAAAACAAATGGACCTGTTGTCGTTAGAAATTCATAGTTTACCATAATAGGTGTGGGGGAAAAGGTTGTGTTTGAAACCCTATAGGTCAGCATTTCAGACTTCTGTGTTTGTGTTCCAATTAAAGGAGAAAATGGAAAAGCTTCTAGATGTTTACTATTTTTAGGCTAACTTGAGAGGGGAGGAGCAGGAACAATATTTTTCATATGTTCCATTAGCAAAATATATGCCACAAATAAGATATTTTTGTGTTTGGCTCGTACATAGATTTGTGTGAGTTTTATTTGGTTTGGAAGTGGGGTATGTGAATTTTTGGCAGTTGTTCCATTTCTTTTTCTCTATGTTAAATGCAAATAAATTTTTCAAGATAACTGAAAGTAGAAATTATGTCTGTGGGTCTCACAAAATGCTGGAAAGTACAGGAAGTCCAGCATTTGAAAGCAGAAGCGAAGGAGGGGGGAGAGAAACAAGGAGGTGGTGGATGTTTGTGGTGTCTTGCAGCAGCATTTGGTTTACCAAATTTTTGTTCCTTCATATAGTAAAAATATTTTGTTGCTAAAGTATTTTGATTTAGACTTACAATAGCATAAATTATTTTGAGATAAGTTCACATTAACCACCACAAATTCCTCACTTACCTGTCACTGTTGCTGGGGATACAACTTTTGGCTCCTATTAATGCATCTTCTACTTCAGCAAGGGAAAATGCAATTTAGTTTTATACCTGTTTTAGAAAAATCTATGATAAAAGTGAACCAGTGCCTTCTCTAATAAGTATTAAAGACCAAACCTGTGCAATTTGTAGTAAGTGCAGTCTATCCTCTTAAAAATGTCCAGGGGATATATGCAGTAAACTCAGATTAATGTTAATAGGAGTTACCTAAGATAATAACTCATTTATTTAGTGTTGCATTTCACTTTAATTTCTGTTTTCTTTTTATGAAAACAAAGTTAGGGTTGGAGTTTATGGTATAAAGAACTTTTTTGCCTTCCTCTCTGTAGGCATGCTTCTAAGAAGAGCACTGACCATGAGGAAGCCCATGTGTTAGTTGTTTTTTACTAAACCCACGGAAGAAAATGGAGCCACATTTCAGCTTTGCCGAACCTTTTTCCACCACAGTTGGCTGAATGAGAAATGGTCATGTGATTATGCTGACACCCCAGCATGCATTTGGTAGACCTGTGGTTAACTCGTTCCCTCTCCATGTGTCTGCTCTTACAAAGCTTTGTCCTCATGATACCGTGCTTTCATTCTACCATTGTGTGCCCAAAAGGCTGCTTCTGTTCCCTCTCTGGAGATCTGTATGTCAACTGTAGCAATGCAAACCTCAAGGAAATACCCAGAGATCTTTCTCCAGAAACAGTCTTACTTTATTTGGACTCCAATCAGATAACATCTATCCCCAATGAAATTTTTAAGGACTTGCACCAACTGAGAGTCCTCGATTTATCAAAAAATGGGATTGAGTTTATAGACGAACACGCCTTTAAAGGGGTGGCAGAAACCTTGCAGACTCTGGATTTGTCTGACAACCGGATTAAAAGCGTGCACAAAAACGCTTTCAACAACTTAAAGGCCAGAGCCAGGATTGCAAACAATCCCTGGCACTGTGACTGCACACTGCAGCAGGTATTGCGGAGCATGGCCTCCAACCATGAGACAGCCAACAACGTCATCTGCAAGACTTCTGTGCTGGATGAACACGCAGGGAGACCATTCCTCAATGCTGCCAATGATGCTGACCTCTGCAACCTTCCTAAAAAGACTACTGATTACGCCATGCTGGTCACCATGTTTGGCTGGTTCACCATGGTGATCTCCTATGTAGTTTATTATGTCCGACAGAATCAGGAGGATGCAAGGAGGCACCTTGAGTACTTGAAATCCCTGCCAAGCAGGCAAAAGAAACCAGACGAAGCTGATGACATTAGCACTGTGGTATAGTATTCTGAATACAATGACTGCCTTTGTGATGAGAACTAGAACTGGATGACGCTAAAACCAGAGGTTTACTTCTAAGGTTCATTGTAAACATTAAGACTTTTGGGGTTGTTTTTTTTTTCCTGTTTAACTGAATTACACCACTGTTGAGCTTTCTAACAGAAAGTTTTGTCTGGGTGGTATACTTCAATTATTTCTCTGGTGGTATCCTAAAACAAGTGAATTAATATGTAAACATTAGTTTAGACCCATTCCACTATTTAATAATGAAATTTATTTTTTTAATTTAAAAACCAAATAAAAGCTTAAATTTGAACCACGTAAAGCAGAGTAATTTATTGATGAGAAACCTGTGCAGTGCCAGAGCACACTTGGTTTCTTCAGAGGAATGATGATGAGGAGGTCCAGGAGTGGAGGGTCCCTGAAGGGCACTTCTCACCCGTGGGTGCAAAGTGAAAAGCTGGTGAATGGTAGCCTGTCTGGGGGTCTGCCCACCAAGATGGGAGAGGGGCGCAGTGTGAGGAGAGCAGAATGCTCTGACTCCAAGTGTAAGGGACTGATGCTTGGTTAAGACCTCAGAGGGCATTTAGGCAGTGCTGGGGAGGAGAAAACATAAAGGAGCTGCATTTCAGGATGTCAAAGAGAGGTAAGTTGGGGGAATGTGGTGGATTTTCATCTTACACCTGCTTACTGCCTTGTGTGAGCTTCATGCGACTGTCTTCAGCACTGGGGAGTACAGCAAGAAGGCAAGAGCAAACTTAGTATACTCTGTTTCAAACTGTTCAAACTGGAGTACCACTAGTGATGATTAAAATAAAACCTAATAAACCTGGGGTTTTTTAATCTGTATATAATCTGTTCATAACTAAAAGTGACTTTATTTTTTAGGGTATAGCCTTTTTAAAAAAAATTAAGGAAATAAATTAATATATAGGCTAGACATGTTCTGTTGTGTGATAGGAAATACGTGTTTTTGTATGATTTCATGACTAAACATTTGGGAAGATATAAAGCCCACATGCAGTTAAACTCAGTGTTGCATATGAAATGGATATTTTAAATCTCTGCTGTCTTTAAAAATATGATTTTTTTTTCATAGATAAAGTTTTCAAAGGGAACAAATTCTCAAGAATGTATTTGTCTTGTTCTTTATTACCATAATAAAATGATACTTGTCTCTGGGTCCCTGTAGGTCCCATCTAACTGACATTGGAATGTGTATTATGGAAGGGTGGATAAAAAAATATATAAAATGCTGCTTTGCTAGAACAAGTGTTAAAAGACAGCCTAAAAATTAAGAAAAAACTCTGGAATCATTTCTCCAGTTAGATTATCTGTTATTTCTGTTACAGTTATACTCTTTTATGTTTTAGAGGGCACTACCTTGTTTATCTTATTTCTTTCAGAACATTGTTAAAAGAATAGCTAAAATCTGTTTCAAAGCAAGTCAGAGAGCAGGAAAATGAAGACGATTTTTTTTCAGTATGCATAGAGTCAACCTTTTATGTAATCTTTGTAGACTAAGTCCTACCTGGGTTCTTGTGACCAACTTAGCTGTTTGCTTTATCTCCGTGAACAGTTTTTGGCAAATCAAGAGAGTGTTAATGTTTGTAAAGGGCACAGTCTGTCTGATATTTCTGTTCCTGAAACTACCTCCCTTAAGTAAAAATTTTATTTTCTAAGCTGAGGAGACCGTTGATTACACATCCTCCTTAGTTAACATTTTATGCTTTCCTTTTTCCAAACTCTATCTAACTATATACCCCAGCCCCCCAAGCTCTGCATAGCCTCCTTCAGGAGCCAAAAGCAGTAGGGTTAAATACACATGTGATTCTGAAGAGAGCATATAAAATATTGTACTCTACTGGTAATATAACAAACCCTACTGAATGGGATGTGTAGTGCCTCTGTATAGGCTGAGCCAAATTTGTTCCTGATGTAATTCTCCTAATTTCTCTAAAATTTCCTTCAGAATAAAACTGGTTTAGTTTCTATCACTGTGTTCCCCAAGTGATATTTAGGATCCAGCTAGTATGCTACTTTTGGAAAAAGCAGGGGGGACTAGCTAAAAGAAGGAACTGAGCTGGAGGTACTAATATAATCAAGAATTCAATGTTTATTCACAGCTGAATGCAGAAATTTCTACACAAAATTTGGACAAAATTATTTAAACAGCAACATCTACAAAATTCTGGATGGTCCTAAAACACTTTAAAAACACTTGCAGGTTTTAAAAATTATATTTCAAGTAACATTTTAAAAAAGAACCCCTCTTCCCAAACCTGACTGACAAAAATGTAAAGAATGTATCTTTAGTTTTTCTGGCTTTCCACTTTATTACTTGATCTGCAAGACAGCATCTGGAGCTGGTATAGATTTAGCCAAGCTGAATTTCTGACTCTACATCTTTAAATCCAGACCAAAATTAATTTAAACCAAGTTAAGTGTTACTCTGTAGAAACGTTTTGGAAGGATGGTTTCCCGTCAGTTCTCCAGGTCTGTTGATTTTCTTTAATTGATTTCTATCAAACATCTCTCCTCACAAAAGTTTTCCTTTGAAGGCTGTACTGAAATCTCTTTTTTTAAAGTGTGAGAATCAAGGCAATACTCAGACAACCAATAGATGCAAACTCATCAAGCTGAATTTAGCTGATGAGGAAAATTAATTAAATCACTGTTCCTCAGCTATGTGGACCTGACAATGCAAGTTTTCCTGTCAGCTCAAATATTTGGGCTATATCTCTTTATTTCATTGAAAAGAAACAGAAAAGAAAGATAAAAACTTTTAGCATGAAAAGATGCATTTTTTTTTCCACATTTGCTACACACCTTTCTGTCCAAAACTACCCTGGAGAAAAGCCTACACTCTGCCCTTTGAAGTCAATGGCACAAATTTTTAAACTTTGATAAAGTTTAACACTTCAAGGAGTTATTTACAAAAACAGTTTTGCTCACAAATGAGTAAATTGCTGTGTTTTTTGCTGTGATACCTTAGCATGTAAATGCAGATGAGAGGAAATTGATGTTTCCTTATTCACAGGAGATAGCATGTGGCAGAAAATGAAGGACATGCATAACACAGTGATTTTTTATTTTTGTTTTCAATTAAGATAATTCAGGAAATGTAGAGCTGGGGCTTAATAACTTATATGTCATTAATTTGTCTAACCTGATTTTCTTAAAAAAAAACTTCCCTAGTTTTTGTTTCAAAATGGTTAATGATAACTCTCTCAAGCTTGAATTTTTTTTTAAACTAATGATGATTTTCCTCTGTTAGTTTTCTAGTGTTATTATGATCTGTAAGATCTGTGATAGTGCATTGGGTTCATGTGTATTTAGGCTCAGACTTTATGTTTTTATTTTGCTCTTAGCTTGATACAGAATTAGATACAGATATCTTCATTGTTAACAGACATTGTGTTTTCAAGTCTTCATAATAGCAAGATTTTGCACTACAATTGCCATAAATTTCAGAGGCTGAGTATGGACAGAAAGTGTGGTGATCCAGGTTCTCATCTTCCCAGGGACAAAAGAAGAGAACAGAACCCTAGTTTACCAAAGAGATGCCATGCAGAAAATCTACCACATTGTTTTTCAGCTTGTTAAATTGTAAGTATTAAGAAGCAAAAAAGGAAAGTAAAAGGAACAGCTGTAGTCTTAAATGCTTGAAGATGTCACGGAATCTTGCAGCATGTTTAGATGTGCAGTGGGGTCTCAGAATTTTAAAAAGGGTGTCCCTTGACTTCCACACCTGGAAAAAGAGCTAAACTAAACAAGAGTAAATGAGATTTTCATGAGTTAAAAAGATAGTCTTTAAATTGTAAGAGGGAAATCCAGAGAAGGAAAACAGGATATGAATTCTAGTGAGGTTGGATGTAAAGCCATAGTATGGCTGAAACAAATGGTAACATTGTTTTTTTTCTAAGCAAATCAGAAACAGGAGTCCCACTTAAGCAAGGGCCAAGAGTTAATTGGGTATTAAGGAGCACTGTGGATAGACAGGACAAATGTTCTGAAAGAAACTAGGCTAGCATGTGAGAAGGGGAAAAAGTCATCCTATGAGTTAATTATTGGTTAAAAGATAAGAAACAAAAGTAAGAAATTGTCCATTTTCTTGAAGGTGAATGGTTACTGAAATTCCTGAGAAGATGTCTCAAAGGTCTCAGAATAGGACCAATGCTGTACGGTGTATTTCTGGGTGGTGTGGAAAAAGCAGCTGATAACATTTGTGGATTATAAACAGTTATGGAGGGCAGTCCAACATACAGTTAACTGTGAAGAAATACAGAAGGTTCTCACATTTCTGTGTTGGCAGGTGATGATAAAATGAAGGTTGGATTTGGTTTGAATAACTACAAAGTACTGCAGATGGCACATCCATAGCTATGAACACAAAGATATTCTCTAAATTGGCTATAATCAAATGGAAAAAACATTTTGGAGGCACAATGGGGAGCTCTTCAATGACAAACACCATTAGGAGGGAAATAGTCAAACATCATGGTGGAATGGCATGATAAACCACTGAATAAAATCTGTGATGAACTCACATCTGGAGCACTGCATTCAGTTCGGGTTCTCCTTGTCTTCAAGTAAGATGAACTTATATCTGAATTACTGTGTAGAGAAAGACAGTAAGATCATGAAGGATATGAGGTTGTTTCCATAGGGGAAGACATCTAAAATCCCCAAGCATGGGGGTGAGACGCCATAAGATAATAACTGGAGTAGTACACAAAAGGTAACTTCAGGAAGTCTGATCTCTGTTTCTTGCAACAGAAGATAGAGCAGTTCTGATTAGACAGTGTTAGGCAAGGGGTTATGGGTTTTTCTTAAAATACTTTTTGTAGAGAGCATGCATTTAAATGATGAAGTTCAGGGTACTGTAGAGAAGAAAACACAAATTCAAAGGTAGGACTCCACAAATTCTCAGAAATCAAGGTTGTTAGCAGTTAACAATACTAACATTATGTAGATACAATTCTTAACAAGGAAGGTCTCTACTCATCCCAGGAAGCAGGGATGGTTTCCCTAGGAAAGGCTCACAAGTCTATGCTTCTCTTATTCTGTCTGAGGTGCTGCTGTGGGTGTTTGTAGAAGAAGAGAAGGTGGGCCTGATTTGTATGGCACCGATGCTCTCACACATTCAGTGGGATGCAAATCATATTGCCAACCTGTGAGGCTTGAAAGGGTATTTGTTGTGGACAAGGAGGTTTCACATGTATGGAGTCGGAATGAAGTCCAGGAAAAGCAAAATCATGTTTAAATGTTGGTATCTCCTCACGGTGAATTGCAGTACTGACGGTTAGACAGGGTTTGGACTCTCAGTGTAGAGTTGTGCCAAGATCGTGTTAACTAAAGGAGTGACAGCTTTCCACTGGGGACCTGTGGGAAAGTTATTCAAAGACCTTGCCTGACATATCAAGTTGCATTGATACTATTACAGCTCACCTGGTGGTTCATCTAGAAAGGATGGGAATTTCCCTGCAGATTCTTCATTAAAACGAGGCTAAAGACTTCTTTTTCATGAAGAAATCCCTTCATCCTTGTTTCTTCAAGTGAAAACTGGTGTGATGACTTATTGAAAGTATAAGTACTTCACAATGCCACTTATTACAGGGAAATCCCCTGGAAGCTTTGGTTTTCTTTTGCCCGAGTCAGTTAATCTGAGGAGTGAAACCAACCAACAAGCATTAGACACAGCTTATACGTGCCGTACTATAGCAACATATGAAGTAGGTGGTTTTTGCATGGCAATAAATACATGAGTATGTATCTGTGCAGGTCATCCATACTTCTCTGAAATTCACTCATTTCCCTGCGGTTAGGCAAGTGCATAACTATATCAGATATGTATATATACACACGCACACAGATAAAACAGGAACTCCTTTGGATGCTTTGATTTCCCGTATTTAAGCATGAAACATGTTGCTTTGTTGCTTCAAAACCATGATTCACGCTGCCTCTAAGCCAAGTACACCTCCGTCCTCAGCCTTTAGCAATGTTCCCTGGTCCATGTACCAGCTGCACACGATGTGGAAGAGAATGTGACACTGGCACAGCTCATCCTCTTTCTGAGATCCTTAGTCACATCCATTGGTTACCATATCAAGCTGTTACAGACCTTTGTGAACAACCTTTTGTTTTCCTTCTGTCTCAGAAAGCAGTACAATTTTCTAGAAAGCAAAATAATTAGGTGGATGATGTAAGGCCTTCTAGCTCATAAGGAACAGTCCTGTGTGCAAAAACCAGTGTGCAAGTGGAGCTAGGGTCCCTGAATCTGTTC